CTTTTACTTAAACAATTTTGGTAAATGGTGCTTTCTTTCTTGAATGTTAATGCAGGGTTGATTTCCATTACCTCTTGATTGTAGTAAATTTTCGAAAATGAGTTACATTGTGAGTTCGCATTGGAGAAAGTGATATAAGGGCTTGATTGATTTTATTCTGTATTATTTCATAGATATTCAAAACGAGAATAAAGTTTAGCTTTAATACTGACTGGAGACTTCTGACTTGAGCGTTGAGAAAAATATCTAATTCTAGATTCTAGAAATCGATATCGAAATACTTATTGACAAATTTCAAATTGAGTTTTTTGCTTCAAATATGGATAGTACTTCTTAGGAATCTTACGTTACCAACTTGTGGTTTCTATATGAATCAAGAAGAACATTAGATTCTACCTACCTTGATACTCTGACGTGCTGCTCTCTACTTCTTTTCGCACGGAAACACTTTTTCTATCGAGGGTGAGTTTCACTTGTTCTTGTTAAAGTGTTTGGTCCTATTGTGAGGACAAATATCGACCCCACTCCCTCGTTACTGAGATAATTTACTCAACCACTTTGATTTGCTTAATAAAACAAGAGATGATATCTTTTCTGATTTATTGGCGAGGAAGGTCAAGAGACAATATTACGTAATTACATAAGAACAAAGCAAAAATAATTTACAAAGAGATAAGAAAACTTCTACTGAAATTACACAAAACAATTGATGAGGAATCAATCTAACTTTCAGTCGCTAACCTTGACTTTTCTCCCTAGTACTGTTTTTGGTTTTTCACATTGTAGGATACATCTCCATATCATAGATTGTTACGTTTACTCAAGGGTCAACTTCGTAATCTAAAGTCCGTATTTCGTCTCATCAATATTATTTGTCATTCATATATCAATATTTGGAAATTCAGTTGATAGCTTTACATTCCTATCTAAAGGTGCAAGGATTTATGTATTTGATCTCAACTGATCTCATTTATGTTATCAAACTTGTTCATTTATTCTTCCGCGTCCGACAACACAATAATGTTATCGAAACGTATAAAAATCACAGTCATAACTCATAACATAACATTGGTTCACAACACCAAAATTGGCACAGTTACGGTAGGATCATCGTCACAAGCTTGGAAGACATCACCGATAAAATCAGCAGAATGAAACTGATATTTCAAGCAAATTTAGCAAGTTTCAACTTCTGAGACGACGACGAATCATCTCCATCGAGAAAGACGAGTTTCGGAGTGGCAAACAGTGGACTTCAGACTACGGAAACTTCTCAACCGGTCACATGGATATAGGGTGAGACAAAACTGTGTAAGGGTTCAATCTCAGGGTTTTTGGAAAGGGGTTGCTGCTGATCCAATAAGATACAGGATAAGGTGCGAAACAATCTATTTTCAGTTCGAGGGGGAGACAGAGTACTTATTTGGTTATTGACTTAGTTCTAAAATAATTAGAAATGTTTCAATAAAATAGTTAAAAGTAATTAATAAAAACTTCACACACGTGTTACATCGTTTATAGTAATAAAAACCATTACCCACCTAAAATAATTACAGGTACGGGACTCGATGGTGAATCTTGTCCTTATGGACCACAGTAAGGTAATTTAGAACGAAGTTCACTTTAAAGAGCAAACAAGAAGAATCTTCGATCAATCGAGCAAATATGGCGCATCAAAAACCGTTCTCACTCAGGTCTCTAGAGACGAAAAAGAATCTCGGCAGTCGTAAACAACTGGAATCGGCCTTCAGTGTGGCGGATAAGTTACCGAGAAAATTCACCAGATGGCGAAACGATACTAGTTAAAATGGAAATAAATGAAATAGATGTGATTTGTCACATCTTCGTCCCCCCTTCAGACAAAAAACAGGTGTCCATAAAACAAAAGTTAAAGTGGCACCTGTAGAAACATTTCGAACATTTAATAGACAAAACAAACTTTTAACAATGGAAAACACACGTCAAGGCGGCTTGTTATAACCTTTAAGGTGCGAGGCGTGACAAACTCCTCTTTCACAGTCGCTATCCGACCCTTGCAGAAGGTACGTATCATCCCGAATACATTTTTTTATTCGATAAGGTCCCTCGAAAATTAATAATAATTTTTTCGTTTCAACTTTCAGGGCTGACAATATATTGTTCGCTTTCAAGAGAATAAGGTCACCAGGAATGAACTTCCGATAGGGTCGTCCCGGGTACATGACCGCTCTACGCTTAGCCCTGGACTCCATTGTCTCCCCTGCTAGAACGAGTTTATCCCCTGCCGGGAGGTTGATACCAACAGGTGGCACTAGCTGATCGGGTAGTAGCTTTTCTCGAGGCACCCGAAACTCAAGTTCCTCGGGGGTGAATCCAGTGGACTCATGAACGACAGAGTTCATAAGTTAAAAGCCCATTTGGTCTGATGGTTGTGACAGTATGTCCTTAAAATACGGGCTATTTCCCGCATACATCTCTCCGATGGGTTAGCGCGCGGGTGTCGTACTGAGACATAAACTGATTTTATCCCAAGTGAGGTTATGGTGTCCCTCCATAACGTCGAGGTGAACTGTGATGCGTTGTCTGAAAGTATACGTTTTACCCTAGCATGACGGGAGAAGTAATCCTTTGTTAATCTATTCAACATGACTCGCTTAGTGGCTTTCTTTAGTGAGTAAAGGGTAACATACTTTGTGAATACGTTCAAGATGACGAAAATAAAACAGACACCACTACGACTCTTTACTAGGGGACCCAAAATATCTAAAGCAAGCAAATCATCCTTTGATTCTGGCAGTATTTGCTTTTGTGAGGGATCTGGTAGGATGGAAATTTTTGCTCTTTGGCAAATGTCGCAGGATTTCACGTAACTTTTGATAATCCTCTGTAAATTAGGGTGATACACTTCGTCTCGCATGGCCAGCCAGGTTTTATAGACTCCATAATGCCCTATGGCAATATGATAATTTATTACAAACTCCCCACCATCGAGGTCGGGACATATAACAGCACATTTTCCTGACTGGACCCTCTTTGGTACAAAATATCATTATGGAGGATAAACCTCTTTTGTAGTTCGGTATTATCCAGAAGTGAATTCTTAATTTGTGTTATTTCACTGTCCTCGGACTGAATTTTTTTCATATTTTTTATTTTTTTAGGAATCGATCCGGCAGCCTTAAAGAAAAAATTCTGGAACAGTTGTCAGAGGGTGATGGCAATCGAACACAGGCATGTCGGGAGAGGGCATCAGCCACAACATTTTCGTGACCAGGAACGTGATAAATCTTAAAAGAATACTCCTGAAGCGCTAGGGCCCAACGGGTAATCCTAGGGGAAAGTAACCTACAGGTGTTGAGGTAAGTTGAAGTACGACTATCAGTATAAAGGTGAAAATGTTGTGCCAACAAATAGACCCTCCATCGGGTGATACACCAAACGGCAGTCAAAACTTCCTTTTCATTTGAACTCTAGCGCCTCTCACGATCCAATAGTAAACGACTTGCCCAAGCAACAGGGTATTTACCGCCGTCCCTCACTTGAAAAAGTTGTCCAGCTATCCCATACTCGCTAGCATCTGTGGTGATGTGCCAGGGAAGTTCTGGATCTGGATGGTAGAGTAGAGTCACATTCTGTAATTCACGCTTTAAATTTTCGAATGCTTCTTGTTGAGGCTGGTTCCACTTCCAGGATTTTTTTTTTGTAATAAAGAAGTCAACGGTTCTTATAAGACGGCAAAGTTAGGAGTGAACGACCTATCATAGTTACATAAGCCCAAGAATTTCTGAACATCCTTTATACTTTGTGGGATTTTATAGTTCACAACTACTTGCACTCTCTCTGGATCTGGACGAACCCCCGTAGGTGAGATAATATAACCTAGAAAAGGCAGTTCGGTCTGAAAAAAACTGACATTTCGAACCTTTCACTGTAAAGCCAGCCAGCTTCAAACGTTGAAAACCCTTTTTCAGGTGATCCAGGTGCTGCGACACACTCGATGAGGCAACTAGAAGGTCATCAATATAAGTTACCAAGAAGTTAGAAAATTTTGCTCCAAATATTGTATCGATGGCCCTGGAGAAGGATGCTACAGCAGTCGAAATACCATAAGGTAAAACACACCATTGGTAAGTTTTTGTGCCAACCATAAACCCAGTATATTTCCTATCTTCCTGTCGAATCGGTATCTGCCAATAACTTTGCGATAGATCAATCTTTGATAGAAATCTCTTTCCATTCAACGACTTGATAATGTCCTCAATCCTCAAAGGTAACTCCCTGTCAGGCTGAATAACCGATTTAAGATGTCTCGCATCCAGGCAAATGCGGATATCATTTGTTTTTTTCACGGTAGTCATAAGAGGGGAAATATATGGAGTACTCGCCCGTTCGATAATACCCCATTTTTCCATTTGAAGAATGGCTTCATTTACTGCATCCCGGTGAGCCACTGGGATCGGGTATGGTTTGATAAAGAATGGTTTATCGTCTCTCAAAACTATTGTATGTTCATAAAAATTTGTCCTACCAGGTTTATTCGAAAATATCATTTTATAATCAGACAACAAATCTTTAAAAGAATTTTTTTCATCTACAGACAGGCCAAGACACTTTGACGCCACATTTTCAACATCAATTTCACAAACATTTAAGTCTACAATAGAAGAGCTTACTTTACTATGGTGAGTATCATTTATAATCACTGATATGCTCATGGGTTTTGGGTTACCATAATCATGTTTCAAAATATTTTCTTTTATTGTTATATTTTTACAGTTCACAGTTAAATGTATTATTTTTCTGCTAAGTTTATCTTTGCGTGGTAGAGCCTCATAAAATCAACTGCAAATAATGATTGGGTAGCTCAATTCTGGGATAACTAGGAACTCATGTGAGAATTGATTTTTTTTCCAAAGTGAAAGTGACTAGAGCTTGGCTCATAACTTTTCTAAACTTACTCTTGAATGCACCCACTTCTTTTATGCCTTTGCATAAAAAATGGGGGATAATCCGGTGTACATCAGCTAGCTGAGCCCACACGGTATCGCTCAATTCAGAAATAGTACTGCCAGTATCAATCATAGCTGGGAACTGGTATCCATATAAAGAAAAATGTATGATGGGCGAAGGAATATCTTCTGGCTTATGCTCAAATTCGCATTCTTCTAAAAGGTCTTGTACGGGGTAGTTGTTGATGGGTTAATTTGGGTTTTATTTATTACTTTTGTGACTTCCTGACTTATCAGATTGGCCAACTCATCTCTTGAAACTATTATTTGATTTGATAAACTCAGTTGTGGTGCCCCAATACTTCTTGAAAAGTTTTCAGGCAATATTGCTCGTCCTGAAGATGGAGTCTCGAAACGTTAGTTTGAGATTGAGGATTGTGAAATGACAAAGAAGACCTCCTGGAGTTGCCCTCGTTACTTTGATGATCTGGTAGAGGTAATGGAGAAGCACCTTCCATATTTAATAAAGATATGTTACCTTGATTTTCAGACGTTTTACTTTGAACCTTCTCTGTTACAGGAATGTCGTTTGCATTCTCTGGCCAGTTCTCTTGGTCTCGCCTCCGATTCCTCAAGTTGTACTGCAGGCCTTGTGGAGACTTTTCCAACACCATTTTCTTGTCTCTTCAGGAAAAAAACAGCCCAAAGTTTTTCGCCAGATGTAAGGGTTCAATCTCAGGGTTTTTCGAAAAGGGGTTGCTGCTGATCCAATGAGACACAGGATAAGGTGCGAAACAATCTATTTTCATTTCGAGGGGGAGACAGAGTTGTTGACTTAGTTGTAAAATAATTACAAATGTTTTAATAAAATAGTTAAAAGTAGTTAATAAAAACTGTAACACACACGTGTTACATCGTTTATAGTAATAAAAACCATTACTCACCTAAAATAATTACAGGCACGGGACTCGACGGTGAATCTTGTCCTTAAGGACCACAGTAAGGTAATTTAGAACGAAGTTCACTTTAAAGAGCAAACAAGAAGAATCTTCGGACAATCGAGCAAATATGGCGCATCAAAAACCGTTCTCACTCAGGTCTCTAGAGACGAAAAAGAATCTCGACAGCCGTTCATAAAAAACCTGACCCTGGAAATACTTTGCCAATGCAAAAAACCCGTCAAAATGAAATATTGATTGCCTATCCCGGAGGGCATGAGGGCCATCGCTACTTATGATTAAGGACGGTAGAATCGCTTTGGGGTTCGTGGAGTTGCCCAAGATTGGATGAGGTCATATCTAGACAACAGGTCACAAACAGTGAGAATTCAAGGTGTTCACAGTCAGTCCTTGGCACTGTAAACAACTGGAATCGGCCTTCACTGCGGCGGATAAGTTACCGTGAAAATTCACCAGATGGCGAAACGATACTAGTTGAAATGGAAATAAATGAAATAGAAGTGATTTGTCACAACTGTACACTTGATATTTACTTCGATCTGTCACATTGCTTTTGTTGTGCTCTAACTCAAGTAAACTCAAAATCCAAATTCAAATTCATAATCTCATATAACATTTTAAATGAATAAAGAATATGATGTTATAATTCAATCTATACTATTTTCAAAAAAAATATCTCACATCCATCAGTTATAACACCGAAACATCTGAAAGACAAATTATCTAAATTCAAATTGAAGTCAAATATGAAATTTCCTATACCAATTGATAATTATGATTTGATCTACAATTATTTTTCTATATCTGAATTATTAGTAATCTATAATAACGCAATTTTGATATTTGCTATTAAAATTCCTTTAGTACGGGATCAAACTTTCAACTTATTTAATTTAATCCCATTGTCTTCATCTTTCAATAATTCAAACATTTATTCCTTTATTGATCCTCCGTTTCCATACATGTTGCTGAGTACTATCAAAACACAGTTTGGCAGATTAAAGGACTTTTCTAGTTGTCAGAAACTATTCGAACGAGAATACATTTGTCACCATCCCGTCATCCAATTAACTACAGATCAGCCTGTTTGCGAAGTTGTTTTACGTATCCAACCGACTACCCAGATTCCATCTGATTGTCCGACGAAAACAATCAAATCCATCATGGAACTATGGCATCCATTTAGCACCAACCAATGGCTCTACGTGCTCACTCAGTCTACCACCGCCTCGATCAGTTGTTCTAACAATACAGATATCTTTGACATCATTTGAAAGGTGTTGGAATTCTTTCTATGGGAGCATCATGCAAGTGTTATACATTTTCCACGCTTCTAATAGCCAACACTTATCAGTCATCAACTTTCACCAATTTCATCGCCGAGATCAAAATCACCCAAGATGACTGTTGCATCCACATCCAAGAATATCCCTCATCAAGTGAGATGGAAACGCTAAAATTGGATATCATCTACTTGGACGATCTACGACATGCTCAGCACAAACTCAAACAATTCGATGAAATACTACAGCAGAATCTCAATAAGCCATTTATCCTTAAATACTCCAAATGGTACAACATTGTATTTGGAGTCATTGTGACAATGGTTATACTGGTATTTCTTTATTGTTGCTGTTGTCGATGTTGTGATTGTCGCTGGATTCCAATTATTGGGAGGTTTTGTCCCCAACCAACCAAACTCGCTGACATTTGTATGAATAGTCACAATCACGTCAGTCATAGTCTGTTATACCGGCCAGCAATCCAACTCAGCGAGTTGAAAAGAAGAGAAAGTCTACCAAGAACACCAGTCCCATATCAGGACGACTTAGGAGAATGCAGTAACATCAACCTCTTTCCAAGACCACGTGGTCTCTTCTTGTACCCAAGAAGTCTCTCAAAGTGTGAAATAGTGACAGTAGACCCTTTCAGTTTAATTTTAAGTATCATTTTTTTAGTTTCAATTTCAGTTTGAATCTAGTTTTGATCGTTCGCCGGGATGTTGGATACCTTTCCATATCATAGATTGTTATGTATACTTAAGGGTCAAGTTCGTAATCCGTATTTCTTCCCATTATTATTATTTGGCATTCATATATCAATATTTGGAAATTTAGTTGATAGCTTTACATTCCTATCTAAAGATTCAAGGATTTATGTATTTAATCTCAACTGATCTCAATTATGTTATCAAATTTGTTCACTTATTCTTACGCGTCCGACAACACAATAATGATATCGCATTGTATAAAAATCACAGTCATAACTCATAACAGACACAGTTAAGTTCAGACAATATTATAGTTCACCTCTTGTCGTATACCGAAGTTAGTAAAATATCAATGTATAAATAAAGTTCGCAGAATAAGTTCTTTGTTCCTCAAGTAATTGGTTCACAACAACATGTCTTCAATCGAGGACCATCTGCCCGGTACTGACGTATATATGAAACTGTTGGATAGTGGGGTATTGCAGCAAGTAAATGAGTACTCTTATAAGTTAGTCCAAGCTTTCGAAAAATTTTATATTAATCATCAGGGAAACTACAATGATATAACTTATACAGTAAAATCAAATCTATTACATGCTCATGAACATGCCCATGACTTACATCTTATGGGAGGATGGTTACATTGATGTTGAAGAAGGAATGACATTGGCGAAGATTGATATACAATTCTGAATGATTGAAATTTGTGAAAATATATTTCTTTCAGACCATCGTTGACACCGTGTGTGTCAAATGATCGAGCTACATGTCAGAATTTGGAAATATGACAGACTGACTACTGACATGTGGTAGAAGGTCTTGAATGTTACAAGGAGTATTAACTGTACTCTAGTTCAGCGGTTCCTAAATGGTGGTCTGCGGAACCCTGGGGTTTTCTTTTGTCATTTCAGTTTATAATAATGAATAATTGGCTCAAAACGGGACGTCTTGCAAGTACCAAAAGTGTTCAATCACATTTACCAGCAGAGTCCACAGAAAATATTTCAGAAGAAGCCGTTGCTGGTTATTCTGTGAGGAAGTTTTATTTACCTGTCCTATTCAATACAGTCTTGCCAATGACCTCTTTTGATTTTCATTTGATATTTTTGTTGTCTATTATTGATAAAGGTTATTTATTGTTGTTGCTGGTTATTCATCAATGTTGTTTGCTGATTATTAACAATTTATTACAGAGTACGGAAGTAAATACGGAAGACCCTGGTGCTGGACAAAACCGACAAAATACACCATCCAACAAAAAGGCTGAATGAAAGTAGAGAACTATTTCAAAAAAGAGAAAATATGATGAATCCTATTTGTCCTTCGGATTTATTCCTGTGGGAATTGCTGAGAATCCAGCTGGACAATGCGTTATTTGCAGTAAAATTGTGTGCAATAGCTCTCTTGTACCTGCAAAGCTTAAACGGCATCTTGAAACCAACCATCCGTAACTGTTTAAAAATCTGCTCCTCAGGCCTCCTTGTCACGTGATCCTAATTAAAAAAAGTTTATAGTTATGAGAATGGTAGACATTGTCCTTAGCCTCTACACCAACGTAAGATATTGAAAGTAACTGCGAATGATGGGTATTTACAGCATAAGTTTTGTCGGGACCACAATTGACTCATTTCATATACTTGAACGCATTTTTCTGATTTCCGTGGAATGTTAGCGAAGTTGTAATCGTTATTATCATGTTGAAGATTGGAAAATATACCTAGATTTGTGAAAGAATTAATATTCCATATGAAGATGTGTATGTGTGTGTAAAAGCGAGAGACGCGTGTGACGTAATCGAGGCAAAGAGAGATGGAGATGGTATCGAAGTTTTACGTTCTTAGCGCAGCAGGTGTTGTCGGTTGTGAAATAAATCGTTGTTTATGGGGCAATGTAGCGTTGCCGGTTTTGAAAATAAGCGTGGAGTACTCGATGAAAATTGGAAGCGCGAATGTGATATATTAATAATAATGAATCAGATTTAAGAAAAAATATGACAATAAAACATGCCGGTTTAACAGAAGTCTAGCTTTCCAACATGTCGAAAGGACACTAAGTCTCGTATCTTTGTTAACCAAATTAGCATCATCAGGAGAAGGAGGAGATGGCACCAAAGTTGTCGAGGAGTTATGTATTGTGGAGTTAACATCCTAAAATGGGGAAAGCGATCTATTTACAAGCGTTTCGACCGTTTTGCGTGCGACCGTTTTGCGTGCGACCGTTTCGCGTGCGATCGTGCGTTTTCGACCTATTTGGGTGCGTTTTCGACCGTTTTTCGTGTGTTTATTCATTATCGTTTCATCGTTATCGTCGTAACCGTTTTTCGTGTTTCAATATGACAGTCATTCATCACTTAACGCGTTTCGCTAACCAAGTAAGTATCATCAGGAGATGACTAAAATCCATGCTTTGTCGTATGAAGGTTCGTTTTGCAAATTTTCAGACTCCTGAAGGGAACTTTGTGGAACACTCAGTCTAACTTCTGTTACAGAGTGGTGTCGGTCAGCCAATCAGAATGTTGGAATCAAATATCCCTCAATTGATAGATGAAATTGAACTGGAGAAGGAGGGTAGAATAATAATAATAATAGTGATTGAACATTGAAACTTAGAAAGTGACGTAGTCAGCGTGGGAGATGGTGGCGTGGTAGAAAATGTGTGATGATTTGTGAAAATGAATGGGTTATTAGAAAAAAAATGGCGCAACTGTCAGAAAGGCATTAATTTATATGTTCACTAATAATGATCGGATCGTCACGTACTGCACGTAAAATGAAAGGATAAGAAATGCAGAATTCATCGAAAAAAAAACAAAGATGACGCAACATGTCAGTTCATGGATGTTCGTCATATTCTTCTGAGCGTAATTTTGTACGTCCATATATTGCCTGCCTCCTGTGATTCAGTGCCTCACATACGCATAGGATGTGTAGAGCTGTTTCTATCCATTCGTTGCATGATCTGCAGCTGAGGTCTCCGTTGTACAGCCCCATTTCGTTCAGGTGTCCTCTAAGCGGACAATAACCGGTTAGTAACCCTGTAATTATTCTGAGCCGATTCCTACTATATTGGAGTAGTTCTTCGGTTCTTTTCTCGGACGG